TCTCTCTCTCTCTCTCTCTCTCTCTCTCTCTCTCTCTCTCTCTCTCTCTCTCTCTCTCACTCTCTCACTCTGTAAGACTTTTTCCCAAATACTTCGTGCGAAAAGGCATTGCGAAAACCCCATGTCCAATATGAAATCGATTATTAACGTTGACTTCGTCGAAGAATCGAGATCCAACGGCATGGAATAGCTCTCGAAGTTATACGACGTGCTCGGAAAGCTTTCGCGACGCCAATACAATGAATGATGTCAATATAGGGGAAAAAATGTTTCAAAGCTTTTACGCACGCCGCCATGGACTTATCAATGTCGCTTTTATGTTATACATTGTTGACGGAATCGCAAAATCGCCCACACATGTCACTAAATTCGATTACCCCGCTGAAATGACTGACGGGTTACAGAGTTTCGACCGAAAACGATTTCGTCATGGTATATTTCCAGGTATTTATTCCGATATGCGATGAAAAAACGACAATCAAACGATGTGATGCGTTAATGTACATTAATAATGCATTTTGTAAATAATAAATTTTACAAGCGTTACGAAAAATGGGCGTTATTTATTACCGCTCTTGTTTCCCGCATCCGTCCCATTAACGCTCATTTCGAATCAATTTGGTCCACTATTATTTCTTTGTTATATTTATAATCCCATTGTTTTACATAAACTTATAGTGGATACAAAAAGGTAGCAACAATAGTACAATGTATATTCGGTAATAATTTCAATTTCAAATGGCTATAAATTTAAGTAATTGTCCCAATATCTTTCTGCAAAAAAATATCATTAATATAAAGAACGCGGCATTAATTGAATGAACATTCTTCAATAGATTAACATAGAAGAATACTAAATGCTAAAAGCTTTAATAAATATATTAATGTTAAAAGGGTGTACGCGACATCGACGCATAATCTTATGCTCAGCGAGAACCCGATTCTTTTGTATGTTCCCTTTTGGGGACTTCAGGAATCCATTCTAAGCGGTTATTAAATGACGCTCTCGTGCAGGGTTGGATCGTCCACTTGGTGCCAGAAGCAATCGTACTCCGTCATCCCACTCCGAAAACTATGAGGCGTTTAATTAACTCCGCGGAGGCCGGGAAAAAGACCCGTAGAATTCACATGCAAATGCTCCGTGACACGATTGCGGAACAATCATTTCTTTTTCCAACTGAAACTCGGCTAGCAAAACCGACCGCCGACTTCCGACACTTCGCGCCAGATAAATTTCACAAGGAAATACCGTCATTTTAACGTAAAAACAAAATCCACCGAAGAAACACGTGAAAAACATAAAAAAGAGACGTAACATATCTTTTTCTTTAAAGCGTGTTGCTTTCTCAAAAAATAATAGCGCTATTTTTCAGTAAAATAAAATACTTCAATGAGAAGATTGCAAGAAAAAGTGAAAGGAACTTTATTTCCGTTATATAGAAGCAAGATGTTAATACTATTATAATATTGCAGAAATAATGATTGTGACGAGACTGATTGAGGAATGTAAAGTAATTTCGAATTATCACATCCTGATGATGTAACGCGAATAACGAACATCCGTAACGTACCATCGGTAGATAGCGTAATTTTATTTTTATTCGGCTTGCCGTTGGTTTGTGTAATCGGATGCGCAAATGAGTCACCATGCCGCAAGAGATGATGGACGCAATCGCGCAATCGCGAGTAGCAAAGTAGTCACGTCACGCATAGGTCAGCCAGAAAATGAAGAACGTAATCGACAGACTGGTGACACGTGTGAAAGTTGGCCGTTGTTAACGCGACTGCACGTTAATTTTGCATTAAAATTGTCACTATTTTTTACCTTTTTTTACCGATGTAGAATACTCATAGAAATTGTAAATTGCATTACAATTTTTTTTTAAATATTAATTGTTAAGGCTATTTACGTATAATGGTTTTTATTGCATATTTATTCTATGGTTTCTTATTTTATTCATTATTTTATTAACTCAAAAATTTCTTGTAATAATATATAATATAAATAATAATGAGAAATAATTATATAAAACTAATGATTATTATAATGAGGGTATACGATGCGTTATTATGTTACAGGAATATGTATTTACTTTCAAAAAATACAGTTTTAGTAATAAGAATAATGTTAAAATGTATCTTAAATTTTGCATATTTAAAATTTATATAATTTTCCAGATATTATCGTTCGTTGTTACGTGCAAAGTATAAAAAATTCGTACCCGGAAATTAAAGATGACGTATCCTACGTCGCGTAATTTACATTCTCGCCGTGCAACGCGATTAAATTTTAAATTATTATACATCGGGTGTTCAACATTTTTCCAATAAGTGGCATTTATAGGCGAAAGAAGTGGAGCTCCTCCTCCACTCGGGATTCGATCGATGGCATTCTGCTCACGCGTTTACGATGCGAAACGTAAGAACGCGATTAATCGCGAGTAAGAGTCGTCGAATCGTCGGGCGAGTGAAATAAAATATCGCGAGGCGTAAGGAAGACGAAGGAGACGGGCGAACGAGACGAGACACGGCAAGCCGATCACCGGCTTTAACGGTTCGAGTTTCCTCGCGAAAGGCGAACGCCGTTGCTTGGAGATAAGATCGCAACGGGATGAGGAGAAATTGTTTCCACCCACTCCCGCGCTGTCCTCCGCGTGAGATATACACACAGGACACTTGCACGACCGCCTTGGACGGCGCGGCGATCGGGAGACAAGCTAGACGGAGAGGAAAAAAATTGCTAAATCCTATACCTGATTCAATGGCTGAATCCATTGAGCGGCGGTTTGATATCGCCGAAGAATATCTCTGTTCCTTTGAAAGGAAACCCGGATTTGAAGGAAGAAGGATACGTCGGCGAAGGAGCGGGTCTTTGAGAGGAAGCAGAAGGAGATCCCGAGAGCCAGCAGGGCGAGAGGAAGATGGACGAAAGAAGGAACGAGAAGAGGGCTTACTCTGACAATACATCCGCTCTCCGGAGGTAACGCGAGGGAGTGCTGACTGACAGACAGCTCCTATCTACTAGATATCCGAGCAAAACCTACACCTCCCCTCCTATACTGCTGTATAGTATCAGCCATCCCGTTGGAAGACCCGCCATTTCTTCTATAAATCATCGAAAGGGAAGCACGCGCTTCTAAAAGTCAGAATTCTTAGAAACGTTTCAATAATGTGCATTATAAGATTTCCTTTTGTGATCGTCCGTAATCAAGGAATATCCTGTTTGATCGGAAACGTTTCGCGTCTCTCTAGATAGTGACCGCTATTCGAGGTCACAGGACATCCGATAAATACCACAAAAACCTATAGGGAAAGCTTTTTTAACGTAACGACAGGCGCTACCAGTCCGAATAGCGGTTATCACCGGCAGCCAATTGTTTGCTCCCTTGTAACAAGAACGCTCGTTTCTGCTACTTAATAAAGCACCTCAGCTCGTACCTTTTACGATGCGATATAGGCACGAGAAACCTACCCGCCGTAAAACCTTTCCCCCGGACGGAATCCCCCGTGAATTATTTCTCGTCGATCGGTGGAGCGGCCGCAAACGAGAGCGATTTATACCAAACCCCCCGGACGACGACGACTCGCGACGATCGTAATGGGACACCCGGTAGAATGGACCGTAGGCGGCGGACAGCGCGTTTTGCGGTGACAGAGCGTGTCTGATGGAGGGTTGTCACGGTGCGGGAGCACCCCTCAGACTTCGATATTAAAGCCCTCCTCTAATATAAGAGCAAAAGCTCCGCTCTCCACCGTCGATATGCTCGCCTCAAACCTTTTTCCCTTCCTAAAGGCAGCGATATCGCGCTTGTGTGTCGTTATATTCATACGTGTAAGTCCGATAAAAGGGGGAAAGGGAAAGCTAAAGGGTAGCCCCGGTTGAAACGTAGACTCTCGCGCGTGCACCGAGATTTTTAAGCGTCGACTCTCAAGCGAAAGAGCGAAATCTATTTAAGAGAATATACCTCTACGTTCTAATTTGTGTACTTCTTGATGAGAAGAGATGGAAGAGAGCTAAGCTGGATTAAGTCGAGAGTAAGCATACCTATATATGGAGGGGTAAAAATCAGAGTGGTGTAGATCAAATTTTTTTAAATATTTTCTCGTGTGCTTAGATGCAATTTATATATTGTAAAGATTGCATCTAAGCACACGAGAAAATATTTTAAAAAATTTGACTTACACCACTCTGGTTTTTACCCCTCCATATATATCGCGCAAAACATAAAAGAAAGAAAGGAACGCTCAGTTTTGATGCAGATAAAATATGAGAAGGTAAGAAAAGGAAAAAAGTGTAAAGAATCATCATCTACTTAGAAAATATCTCTATTACTGACGAGTAAAATTATTAAATATACAGATCATACGGCCAACTTCCGAGCAAACGAAGAAAAGATGTTGGTTTAATGTAAATAATTAATAATAATTAAATTAAATTAATAATAATTTATTAGTTACTGTGAAGTATAATTATTATACGTATAAGGACAAGTCACCCATCGTGAAGTGCAATTCTCTCAGGTTTTATTCTAAGCTAAGCATCGAATGTCAATAAAAAGAAATTTCAATATATCTTTTTGTCAACGTGATACCTTCGTCGCCGCGTGTTTACTCACATGCACGCGTGCGAATAAGATACCAGAAAGATAAAGAGCGAATCGCACGCGCGTTTAGACCGGCGTGCACCCGAATGGGAGACGCGGGAGAAAGCCGAGAAAAGGGAAGGACTCACCCACCCACACGCACGTGCACGCGTACGAGGCCCCCTAGACTCGGCTCTCGGCTTCCGTATCCATCTCATACGCACCATTGACCTCGAATGCACGTCCGATAGAGCTTCCCTGAACCTTCTCAAAAATCAAGTTATCTCTATATTCTCCGCGCATCGTGGCGTTTGGAGTAAAACGCGCGATATACTACCGGAGAGTCTAACAGGGAACGTCTTGCGTCTCGCGCGGAAATTCTCCGAGAAACACTGGCAGATTACCGCGCGAATATCGAAAATAAAAATTTCATCGATACTGACGCGTCGAAAATGACGCACATCTCCTATAATGGCGAATATATGAATTGAATATGCGAATTATTGATCACAGCAGAATGTTCAAAGCGCTCAGAGAGATGTTTATTGATTATTTATAATCTTTCGATATACAAAAAGCAGGTGATTTTTTATTAATTAAAATTATGGAAGAGTTCAAATCGCAGATTTTGTTTTAGCAAAACAAAATATTGTATGCAATTAGTGCATGCGAAATATCAAGATCGATAGCTGTAATTTACTCACTGTAAATCTTCTGCACCAAACGCTCAACCATTTAATGTCTCGTATGCGTTTTCCTCCGGGTAGCCTCAGGATAATGTCTGTGTAGTTGTACGCCTCCAATACTCGTGGGTCGCTGTTGAAGAGAAAAGAAAGAAATAAAAGTAGTAAAACATAAAAAGATTTAAACGTAACTGACACTGCCGGTAAAGTGTAATTGAAGCAATTATTTCGAAAATTATAAGTTTAGGAGAGCCGGAACTCCTCGGGAAATAATAAAAACTCTGCTCTTCTCTATTTCTAAAGTTCAACCGCTTCTGACATTTACATGTCGCTCTATTTATATCACAATGTAATTATATTAAAACTTGAACGTCTTGCATGTATTTCTTACACTCTTTCATAACGTATTCCATTAGTTATTTCCGGAAGCTATATAGACTTAACTTGTTCGTTACAATGACAGATGTGATTGATTTTAAACGCCTTTTGGTGTCATCGACGAATTTGCGTGTCGCGCGAACGATCAAGCGAGCAGGATCGGGGGGAAATGGAAGAAGGCGGGTTGTGCATGCGGTCAGGGATGTAGAAGGCCGAAAAGAAGGGCGGCGGGTAGGAGGTGGCGAGAGTGATGCAGGGCGAACGCGCGGCAGTCCGTAACCAAGGGATGAAATGAAATTCAAAGAGCCCGTTGTGCGCGCGGCCGTATATGCGGAAAGGGGTGGCGGGACGAGGGGGGGAAGGGGGGGGGGGGTGAGAAACAGAAGGAAGGCCGAACGAGTGAGTCGTGCGCGGGAGAGTGCAGTTAATAAAACGGGAATTATACGCCAATCTCGTTCGGATTTCATCTGCGCGAGCACTTTATTACGTTTCTACTCGGCTGCTTCCTACCCGGTTTAGTACACGTTCGAAAAATCCCGTGCAACGAGTGTATCGTTTTGGTATATGTACAAAACGATATGTATCCACAGCCTCACCTTTCCGCGTTAAACGCGACAGTCGGATTATCAGTCTCACATAAAATTACTCGTTTATCGTTGTGCGACACAAGCAGGATTAATTGGCCTAATTAATTTATATCAATTATGTACTGTTTTCCTCTAATCTACAGATAACTTTTGTTCTACCTGTATACTGCTGTAAATCTTTATATTACTGAATTCTTTAGAGAACACTATATGTTTTTCTCATATAATATAATTACAAATATAGAAGTAATGTAGAAATACAAAATATAGAAATAATGTCAGGATTAAATGGCCTAATTAATTTAAATCAATTACGTGCTATTTTCCTCTAATACAAGATAACTTGATTCTATTAGGTAATATTGCTGTAAATCTTTATATGATCAATTCTTTAGAGAAATACATGTTTTCCTCGCATATGAAATAATTATTTTATAAATATAGAAATAAAATCTCAATTACCTGCCCCTATCAGTCTCGGGATAAGGTACAATGTAACCTTCGGGATTGGGTTGGCTGGTATTCCCAACCCAGAAGTAAGCATCTGGGCCGGTGCCGTCGTAACAAAATCCTTTTATAAATATCGTTGCGTCATCAACGGCATATACTTTACCTTTGATGCCGTGTGCGTATTCTTGTAGAGATCCGATTAATTTACCATAATAATTGGGTCCATTCCTAGCGTAACCTGAAAATAGAAGTAGCATCATGGTTATTAAAGAATTCTTTCTCGGAATATAAATGCATAAATACATATACATATATTTTTTATATTTATAAATGACATTTACTAATATGTCATTTATAATTTAGAATCTTTTTTGTCGTTTGCACAATGAACGATTTATACACCTTTTTCACAAATAAAATAATTAGGTGATGGTACGCGCGAAAAAAAGACTTAATTTGATTATTATTTTCTATCCTCTTGTTCGCTTCCTCACTCGCACGTTTACCGCCTGCTTCTCAACAACGGGATCGTTCGACTTAACTAAGCCGGCTTCTCGAAAAATAGCTACAACGATTTGTGAATTTTGTCCAAACGAGCAGCGAGAATCGGGGATACCAAGGAGGAAGTACGGTTCACCCTCGTGATGTAGGTTGGACGCATCGCCGCCCCGATACAAAACCGATGCGATGCCGCCTCGACAGCGCAAAGGGAAGCCGGCGCGGCGTGGCGCGGTTCCGCGATTTGCATGAATTTCATTTCATTTGCTCGACAGGTCCGTAAAGCCGGGCGCTGTAAATGTATATATAGATATATATCGGGAGATCCACTCGCGGCAGTAAAGATCAGAGGGCGTTTACGACCGAGGTCTGGAGAGAGCTGATGATCGGCGTGCGTCTGGGTCGTCTGGGAAGAGTAAGTTTAAAAGCCGAAACACGGGGGGCCTCTCGGAGAAACTTAACCAAGTACGTCCGAAGGGTAATAGAAGTAGAGGTTCGACGCGAAAAGGTGGAATGAAATTAGCGGATTAGGACTTAGCCCTTAATCCTTGGGGAGTCGACCGTGGAACACGCGCGGACCCAAAGACCGCCTCTCGCTATCGACTCTCTTAATTCGATATATCGAGTATGAAAAGTGCTCAGTTAAATACCTGCGAGAATACATATAAATGAGAGATAATTCTTGAATGTGGTAAAAATATTCCATTTATTGCAGCGAAACGTACGAAATCCAAAAAATGTATTTAATATCATCGAATCGAGCAAAATATTTGCGTGATATATAATATTATTACGTAATATAATATTATATAATTCTAGAAAAAACGATGGTAAAATATACAAATATTAAAAAATATATTTTAAATATTTCTTTTCTTGAAATTAATAAACACAAAGCTTATTACTTACATAAAACGCATTTGCGAAAAGAGATAGCTGCAAATTCCATATCTTACTTTCAAAGATGACAGTAAAAAAGCTAACACACGGCCGAGCGTACAAAACTTATTTTCTTATTCATTTTATATGCGCACTATTTTTGATATGCGACATTGATATAAAAAGTAAAACAAATCGTTACGTTGTTTAATTTAAAGGACGAAATCAAAATTCCCAAGCGTCAGAAACAACCGAAAAATTCACTTAACGGCGATCGTTTAAGTGCCCATGTGGAATAAGTGGCGTGCAGTTGGCATTTCTGTATTTAAAATAGCGGCCCGTTAGCGTCGTTGTAGCGCGTTAATTCGTCCCGGTGATTATGGATCCATTAGCGTGGCAGCCAACAAATAGCACGGTACAATCCAATAACCGTCGTTGCCCATAATAAAAGGGGAGGAACCAGGTTTAGGCACCAGTCGGGGGTAGTTTAGTCGGTGGCGTATAGTAGTGTGTATACACACACACACACACACACACACACACACACACATTCCCGTTCATGTGTATACGGAGAGCTTTACAGTCACAGATGCGCGCGTGTCCACGGGATCTGCAAGGGTGGTTCGACACCCTCCCCTCGTGCAGGACGCAGCAGATAGCGATCATTGCGTTCATTGTCGCATTCATTGTAATATCCTCCCGCTATAGCAGGGAGGGTTGGGCGAACGAAGAAACGCTCGCGAGGACCCAGGATTCCCCGCCGATGTCAGTGTGAAAGTACCGAACGGGGTGGACGATGAGAGAGGGTGGGATAAAAGCCTTCGGCGTCATTTCTAAAGACCGACATCAACGACGTCTTGATCATCAACCTACTTCCGTGGAGCCGTCAACGTGGCGTAGCTGAGGATGCTTAGATTTGCTAACGATACTTTCAGTGTCGTTTAGTATTAAAGTAGGTATCATTTCTAGAAATTATATATGTGAACGAACGTCAATGCTACTAATATTCGTGTACAGTCTAAAAATTAAATCGAATAAAAATCAGATCGAACTAAATATAACTTAAATATATTCCATTAAATTTGAGTTGCTATTATACCGTGATTATATAACTTCACGATCACGATCATTTTTAATGAAAGACATTGTCAGGGATAGCCGTTATTCAGCTACGAGTAATATATCTTACTCGATTTGAAGATTGATCTTTACACTGGTTTAAATTCATTGTGCAGTTTTCCGAAAGACTCAAAGGATCGCGCGCTGTATTGGAGCTTGAATTCGCTCAACATTCGGGCCGAATATCGGCTTCGGGCGGTGCAGTGAGCTCGACGGTATGGCGAGCTATTAAATGACGAATCATATTCATGCGCGAACATGCTCGGTATCTTCTACGCCAGTAAAATCGGGAGTTTTAAGCAAACAAGTTGGCCAATTTTATTCATATTCCGATCTGTGACATCAAAATATAAAAAAAATCTCAGTATATATACATTTATACATATCTCTTTGCCATTTTGTTAGATAAAAGTTTTCTCGACCTGTGTTAATTTGAATCAAATTGTCGCCTGTAAATATTTCAATGGATATTTTGTACCATTTGTTTTCGTGTTATACACATCAGTACTCGCGCGAGACAGCGATTGAAAAATTCATATTTTTGAAATAAGGATTTTGATATTTACAGAAAAAAAGAATAGAAGGGGAGAAGAATCGTCTTACCAGATTCTATACAAGAAAAAGATGATTTCCATAGTTACTCTAATTATCCATCCGAGAGTTTGGAAGTTTGAAAAAAATACATCTAAACAAATACATCTAAATTTGTTTATTGTTTGTCGCGTCATAGTCTCAGTATGTTAACTAAAGAGTCATTAAAAATAGATGAGAGATAGGCACGCATATATATACTCTATCGAATCCGTACATTCACTCTCGATATATAAAATACAGAGGAGCACCACGTTTTAAGAAAATGACACTAAATTTTAATAGCTCTTTAGTTAACATAATGAACCTACGACTTTACACATATGTCCGAGATGTTTTATCCATTTGTTTATATCTCCTACCGCGAAAAAATTCCAGACTAATTTCAACGAAACCTTTATTGATGCGGGGAGGCACGCATTTAGCTGGTCCACTACACAAATGAAACCTCGCCATAGACTCCGCGAGATTCGTTTGAAAGCAGGATATGGTGCTAGGACGATCGAGGGAGTTCGGTCAACATTTGAGCACGGTAAACAGCACCCACTTGTCAATACCCCTTCCTCATCCATCCGTCTCTCTCTCCCTCTCTGCCGATCGGCTTCCGAATTGCGTATAGGTTCTTCGAATAGTCCCCCGACACACATTGATCTTAGCTAGGGTCGTCTTAGGGACCGTCGCGACCTGGGGAAATGCCCCCTTGGCCCCGAGGCATCGAGCCTCGATACAAAGCATATTGCATGCGCCGCAAATGCGTACGCGTGAGCGTATAAGGTTCGTTAGCGCGTGATGACGTATGATGGTCTTTACTATCACTGTCATACGAATCCGATGGATTCTTTGTGACGCGTATTCAACAGAGGATTGGCCGGACCTAATCTGCTTTTTGCTCGACAAAGCGCGAACGCGCATCGTGATGTATGTACGTAACGTGGTGACGGATCAGACGGATCAGGACAAAGTGGCTGTAGATGCGCGTTTGCATTTGCGACGCGGCGTCGCGTTGCGAACATCGCGCAACTCCCCCAAGGGAGAAACGGCAACGTTTTCGTGGTCTCGGCCGCGCGTGGAGATCGGTCTCGCGTATCGGTCCGCAACACACGGGAAATCTGAGCCCCTCGGAAATTGTATTCGCTCTCGGAGCGTGTTTCCGAACGCCCGCCTCACGATTGCCGCAAATCTCCAATTTTCAATTCCCATCGCCGATCGCAGGTCACCGGCGAGAAAAAGAAAAGGAAAAAGAGATAGATTTTCTACGACCGGTTTCGATTTGCGCGCTCGAGCAGAAATAGTAGCTCGAGAGATACACATTCCTAAGCCGGTACGCGATCGGTTGCGCGCCGGGCAACGTATACGTGCGCTTTCACTTTCGTCGAGCACGGATCTCGCAACGTGGTCGACCAAGCGAACCCAGCCGCAGCCTTTCCTTCCGATATCACGTTCGATCGCCAAGCGAGCATCAACGGCGAGAGATGTTCCCAGGTGATTCCCCCGTCGCGTCGCTCCGCACGCTAGGTTTTCTCCGTAGGAGAGAAAGTAACGGGGGACGGCGGGCGAGTCTCTCTGTGACTTAGGACGTTAACGAGACTAACCGGATTCATCGCGCGGCGGCGACGGCGACGACGGGGGCGGGAGAACCGGCGGGGAAACGCCGAAGAAAGGAGAGCACCGGGCGGCGGCACTGATTTTAATCAAGATATGGCCTGGCAGCAGCCAACGGCGGATCAAGCGAGCCAGGGCTTATCGATTTTCTAAGTGCTCCCGACCGACAGAGCCATCGTCGCGACACCCAGCGTGAATTTGAAACTAATGGAAAGAGAGATTTGCACGCGCGCGTTTTATTATTCGCCCGATCGTCGAGCATTCAGTCGAATTTAAAAAAGAAAAAACATCTTGCATCTTTCTTATTGTCAGCGAGTTGCAGAATATTTAGGTTTAGTCATCGAATTGCATTTACTTTAAATCTAAGATTCATAGAACTATAGAAATCTTGTATAGAAATAATTTTTGTATTCTATAATAATATTCGTGATATTTAAAAAAATTGCTTTTTTGAAATAATTTTTAACATATTCAGTTTAAATACGCACAACCTATACAATAACAAACTTTTTAAGAGATCTTAATACATTTCAGAATTAAAAACAATTT